AGATTAATACTATTTAAAAACCCAAAAGAGGGGCTCCTGGGTGGCTCGGTTGAGCATCCAGCTTTGGCTCGGGTGATGATTTCACGGTTTGTGAGTGTGAACTCCACATCAGGCTTGCGACTGTCAGCACATAGTCCACTTCGGATCCTCTGTCCCCCTCTCTGTCTCTCTCTCTCTCTCAAAAATAAAAATAAAAATAAATAAATAAATACCCAAAAGATGGGGTGCCTGGCTGGCTTAGTCGGTAGAGCGTGCAACACTTGATCTCAAGGTCGTGAGTTCAAGCCCTGTGTTGGAGCCTACTTAAAAATGATAAATAAATAAATAAATAACCCCCCAAAATGATAGGAATTGGGATTGGCAAGTTTACACCAGAATTTGGTTGATCATAGGGCTCTGGTAGCAAAAATTAGTTCCCTTTATCAAAACTGGGTATGCCCCACTTTGAGATACTGGAATTCTTTTTCTTTCTTTCTTTCTTTCTTTCTTTCTTTCTTTCTTTCTTTCTTTCTTTCTTTTCTTTCTTTCTTTCTTTCAAGATTTTTAAGTAATCTCTGCACCCAATGTGAGGCTCAAACTCACAATCCCGATATTAAGAGTCCCACGCTCCACCGACTGAGCCAGCCAGGTGCCTCAACACTGGAATATGTTTTAAGCTGCTGTTAGAGGAAAGGACTAGAGTGCCGCCTCCTTTTTCAAAATCAGAGAGAAAAAGAAAATATCACTTATGTAATTTTGCTGAGAACGATAACACAAAATGATCAGAAGCTGGAAAGTCCACAGTAAACCATGAAAGGAAAGTGAACTTGTTAGAGGAAAATACTAAATAATAAGACTTATGCTGATAAAATTGTCATCTCCTCTATACCTCATATTTCATATTTCCCCAATTGGAAATTGGGCCAAAGGTGTCCTTGACAACTGATTTGGCTGTATAATCAGGAGCAGACAGGACAACCCGTGGTTGTTTCCCTATTTCATAGATGAGGAAACCAAGGCTTCAGGACATTAACTTGACCTTGCTAGAATCACATAGTAATTATCAGAGCCCAAATGCAAGCCCAAATCCTCATGACTTTGGATTTTGCCTGTTCTCCACCTTAAGAACAGCAGGAAAGATGGGTTCCTTGCACAACTTTATTTTTTAAGTCCAAAGAATGCTTAATAATCATTTATTGGGATGATTCAGTGGGATTTTTATAGATGGGAAAATTCTTCAACTCATTGACTTGAGTAGGCTGTGTCCTCTTGCTCAAATCTTAACTCATCCATAAAAATGACTTAACTCCGTATTTACGAAAAGACTAAATGGCATAGCTGGGAAAATTCATTATGACCACAGCAGATACACCAGGAACCTACCGTAGCAATGTGAACAGCCCTTCAAATGTATACTTCTATATTAAGCTTGGTGGTGCATGCCAGGAAACTTTTGGACCACCTGGAAGGAATATTCATTCCTTCAGAAATAGTAAACCAAAAAATACAACCTGGGAAAAAATTTCATCAGGTAGTTAATGCCTTGTAAAAGGAATCCAAAACAAAAAAGTAAATATTTTCTGCAAACTACTTGCTGGTGAATAATATAATAAATACTACAGGCTATAAACACCTTGTTTCCTCACAAGCTTTGTAAATTTGAGTGATACACATGGCATCTGAAACGCTTCATCCCTACCCTGTAGAGAGTAGTGGCATAAAGCAATGAGAACACCACAAACAGTCTTTGTTGCAAGCACTAAACTCTGACATGATAGTGTGAAAGCAGTGAAGGCACCGTGTAAACTTAGCATGGCTATCTCTGTTCCATTAAAATCTGATTTATCAACACTGAGATTTGAATTTGATATAATTTTCATATCACAAACTATTTTCCTTCTTTGATTTATTTGGGAACCATTTGAAAATGTAAAAAAAAAAACCCCAAAATATTCTTAGCTCACAGGACTTATGAAAACAGGCAGGAGGCTGTAGTCTGCCTGCTTTGAACAGTTGCTTTTTGTTAGGCCTCTTTGCCTGATGTTGTAAGTCACCAAACGCCCCAAGAGGATAAAACAGTAGTAAATATAAACTCCCTTCAGTGAACTTTCCTTCTCTTTGACTCCTTAAGTCCTGGCTGATTTGATTGACTCTGATGCCTTCAAATCAGCTGGGTTTTGTTGTTGTCGTTTTATTTTAGCATTTTATCCAACATTTATAATGGTTCTTGTTTTTTTTTTTAAGTTTATTTATTTATTTGAGAAAGAATGAGAGGGAGAGACCATGAGTGGGGGAAGGGCAGAGAGAGAGAGAGAGAGAGGGAGAATCCCAAGCAGGCTCCACACAGACAGCACGCAGAGCCTGACGTGGGGCTCAATCTCACTAGCTGTGAGATCATGACCTGAGCCAAGATGGAGAGTTGGATGCTTAACCAACTGAACCACCCAGGGGCCCCTATAGTGGTTCTTGATGGAAAAGTCAATTTGATCTTAGTATTCCATTAGAATGGAAAGCAGAAGTCTATATACATTAATTTTAATCTGCTACTTTCACTATCACGAGCCTCTTTCCACATTGACAAGCATTTTCACAATGTCATAACATTCCATTGGATGAATGCATCATGATTTTATGTAACAATTCCCTATCTGGGAACAATGAGATTGTTTCCAGCTTTTTACTATGATGAACACATTTCCGTAGGTTTACTTGTGCGCCTGGTTATTTTCTTAGTATAAAATCCTAGAAGTGTATAGATGAGTGCACACATTTAAAGGTTTTTAATAGCAATTGCCAAACTTCCCTTCAGAAATGTGACACAACCATGCCCAGTAGCTGTATGTTTTACAGCACAGGGCCCAGTGCTGGGTGTTATTGTTTTCTGCCTTTGGCAATCTAGGAGATGAAAAATGGTATCTCTTGCTGTTTCAGTTTGCATTTCTTCAAGGTTGATAGGTGTGGCTGGCTGATAATGGCTCACTCCCAAAGATATGTCCAAGTACTAATCCCTGGAACCTGTGAATGTTACCTTATAAGGAAAAGGGGTCTTGCAGATGTGATTAAGTTAAGGATCTCGAGTGGGGAGATTATCCAAGATTATCTGGGTGGGCCCTAAATGACATCACAAGTGTCCTTCCTTATAAGAAGGAAGCAGAGAGAGATTTGACAGACAAAGGAGGAGGCAATGTGACCACAGAGGCTCAAGGTGGAGTGATGGGATGTGACAGAATGCTGGCAGCTACCAGAAGCTGGAAGAGGCAAGGAATTTATTCTCTCTAGAGCCTCAGGAGGGAATTCGGCCCTGCTAACACCTTGATTTTGATTTAGTGAAACTCATTTTGGACTTCCTGTCTCCACACAGTGAGATCATGCATTTCTGGTGTTTTAAGCCACCAAGTTTGTGGTGCTTTGTTACAGCAACCATGGCAAACTAATATGTTTTACGGACCACATGAAAAACTTTGTTTTAAAAACGTATAGGGGTGCCTGGGTGGCTCAGTCAGTTGAGTTTCAGACTCTTGATTTCGGCTCAGGTCATGGTCTTTCATGAGTTCATGAGTTGGAGCCCCACATGGGGCTCTGTGCTAAGTGCCTCTTGGGATCCTCTCACTCTCCCTCTGCCCCTCCCTGCTCACACTTGTGCTCTCTCTCTCTCAAAAAATAATAAACAACAACAACAAAATACCCGTCACCCATTTAAAAAACTTATAAAATTGAAATAGCACACAATAATGTGAACAGTACAATTCTATATGTGTGAAAATAAATTTGAATATTTGTGTATGTGTTTACACATGCCCAGGAAAAATGTCTAGAAGGATACACCTAACAAGTAACAGTGCTTAACAGGAGGGAGGTGTGGCAAGCCAGAAAGAGGTACTTTTGCTTTTACTCAAGATACTACTGGAGATCCATGGATATTGTTTGAAGAAGCTTTGAGACTGCATTCATGTATTAATTGTGTAAACAGGAGATAAGGCATCTCTGGTTGCTACAAACAACAAAATATGTAGAAAGCAGAACAAGACAGGCTCCTCTCCTCTCCACTTTCTCGGATGTATTTTTTGATAACTTGCGCATCTTCTCAGACTTTTTTCTGCGCAGGAACAAACACATATATGCAATTTTTAAAAGACAAAAATGAATGAGTGCCATATACACTGACTTTCATTTAATGTTTCTCCAAAAATCAGTCTAGGATCCATATGCGCAGGGGCCTCATTCTGTTGGGCTGGTTGCTCTGCGGCACGGGCCGGGCACTCGCTGTAAGACCCAGAACTCACCTTGCCAACCTCCCCGCTGCTTTGCACTTCCTTGTATCTGTGACTTTATCCCTTTGGGGAGGAATCGCTGTAGAAAACTCCCCTGGCAGTTTTGAAAACAGTTTTATTCCCATACTGCCTTTCAGTCTGGTCTTAAAATGGATGCTCTCACCACCAACAGTTCCTACTGTGGATGACACGGGATCTACTTTTTAAAACTTTCCGGAACTGGTTGGAGAGGGATGCTAGCTTAATGTAATTACAAGAGGCATTTCTTTAAGTAAGCATGAGACTGGTTGGGTATTTTTTTTTTTTTTTTATATGCTCCTTGGCTACCGAGGCAGCTTTGTGAACGACTCCAGAGATCACCAGCACACAATTTTCCTTCGCAACGAACCAAATCCGAACCCTTTCTGAAACCAAGACTGTTGTTCGCTTAAGGAAGGACCCGGTCGGGAACTATGGGGCGCAGGTGACCTATGGGATTTTAGTGGCGGGTGACTTTAGGCACCTGAACAAGGTCAAAAACCCGGGCTAGGGAGGGGGCGCGTTGGAACCCCACGGGAGCAGGAGCAGAAGGCCACCCGGCGTATTCCGGGATGCCATAAATAGGCCCGATCCTCTGCCCCACGCATCTGGCGAGGGCGAGCAGGCTGGCGGGGTCCAGTGCTCCGAGGAACTCCAGGCAGCGAGTGTCCGCGGTCAGTCTGTGTGTCCGAAGCTTTCCCGCAGGGGGCAGTGCCGCCCGCCAGCGCGCCGATGCGGTGGGAGGGGTGTGTGGAAGCGGTGAGGAGTTGTGGGGGTTCTTTGGAAGAAAGTTAGGGGATGCTTAGGGGGTGGGAGGGGTGGGCCGGAGGGTGGGGAAGGACCGCCGGGGGTGCGTGGCGAGGCGCAAGGGAGGGGGCCAGGACGAGGCTGGGGGCGCGGGGGTGTGCGCGGCGGGGAGGCGCAGCCCCCGGAAGGTGTGAGTGAGCGGTGTGCGAGTGTGAATGCGAGTGAGTGTGTGCGCGCCGGAGCTCTCTGGGTTCCGCGAGGCGCGCGGGTGTCAGCTTGCAGCCGGGGCTCCTCCCTCCGGCCCCCCTGCCCAGCCCGGCGATCCCTCCTTCCTTCGCCGCTCGCCCCTCCCCGGTGGGCCAGGCGCTGGGACGCCCCGGCGGAGCAGGCGGCGGCGGCGAGTTGGGGAGCCCTGGGCTGGGCGCTGCCGGAGGGGCCCGAGCCGAGCCGCCCCCGCCCCGGCCCGGCCGCGCCGGCCCG